GGCCCGGCCCCGCGGCCCCGTGATGGGCTCCTGCGTGTCGCGAGGTGAGGGGGCCGCGCCGGGTGGGGTCGGGTCCTTGCGCCAAGGGCGCGCGCGCCCCCTTCCCAGCTCCCAGAAACGAGGGGTGCGGTGCGGTGGGGTGGGATGGGGTGGGGGTGGGGGTGACCCGCCCTTCCTGGACCAGCCGCAGCAGCGCAGAGTCCCAGGGGACAGGAGGCGCCCTGAGGGGCGCTGGACGGGAGCCTGGGGTGGGGGAGGCAGCCGGAGAGGTCACCGCCTGCCGGCCAGCTTGGAACCACACCCAGGCAGGTGGCATGAGGCAGGGTCCTGGGGCTGGGGCGGCCACACAGCCCCGCAGTGTGCCGGGCTCGCGGGAGTAGGCTTCTGGGTGTTCTGGCTTCTCTGGGGGACTTGGGGAGCTCAGGGAGAACGAGCAGTCTACCCTTCCCACACCCCCCAACCACAGGCCTTTCTGACTCAACTCCTGACCACCCCCCACTCCTGGTGGCTCCTTACCCCAGAGGCTGTCTTCAGAGTCCCTGTACCCCATGGCAGGTGGAGGTCATTGCAGGTGAGCCGCTTATAAGGAAGGAGTCCCCCCCCTGCACATCCCTAACTCCACATCCCCACCCCCATCCTTGGTCAGGGGACAGCAAGGGACACACAGCTGATGTTCCCAGTAACCCCGGGCCTTTGTCTCTGAGCCTTAAATGCCTCGGGACCCACTCTTCTGCTCTCCTCCACTGCTTAGCACCATGGTCTCCCCACAGTGGTACTGGGGGGAGCTTGCCCTGGGGGGGGGTGCCAGGGAGATGCACAGCCTTGCACAGGGGCACGTTGGTCTTTGGAACCCGCCACCAGCTTCCTAACAGGCTGCTGAGAAACATTTAGAAGACTGAGTTAGGCCACCCCCCGGCCAGTCTCCTCACCCCACAGCAGGACCAGGGAGCTGGGGTGACCAGGCCCTTGACTCTGGCTCTACAGACCGGAGCCAAACCCACTAACTAACCACTGGGCCTTGGGGAGCCACGCCCAGCCCATCACCCCTGTGGGGCTCACACAGTTGTAGTGGGGTGAACAGGCCTTGGGGGCGGCTGGGTGAGCCCTGGGGGGTCCTTGTTTCTGGGGGATGTTGCAGAAGGATCTCTGCTCCCTCACCAGTCCACATGGGACAGTCGGGTGAGCGGCCGGGAGGTTTCCGGAGGGGCCCGTTCAGACTGTGTGAGTTCATTCACTTACTCAATCACTAGCTGGTACTAACAGGACACCCACAGTGCCAGGTGCACGCTGGGCAGCCTGTGGAGGTGACCCCAGCATGACACCTGCTCTGGGAGACCCCAGCAGTGCTAAGAGTGAGGTGTGTTTTGGATTCTTTGGGAGTGATGGGTCCCTTGTGTGTTTCTAGAAGGCCGGAAAGTTCTGGGCGGTCTCCGGGTGGGAAGGAGCCAGGATCTGCGGCTTCCTTGGTGACTGTTTTCCTTCCCCGCCACTCAGCCATCCGTGCTGGACATGCTGAGACCTGGCTGTGAACTGCAGGCCTCTGTATGGCCTGGGGAGGAAGGGGTTTTCACAGAGGTCACGAGAGGTAGTGTGGGGACCGGGTGCCCGACCCCCACTCCCAGCCCAGGAAGGGATCACCATGGCTCCTGACAGTCCTCAGAGTGGAGGTCACTCGTCCCTCTAATTGTCACTGATGCTCTGAGAGCTGACAGCATACCCCTCCCCACTTGCACGCAGCTGGCTAACTTGGGGTGTGTCCTGTTAAGTCCCCCTTGTACAGATGGGGAAACTGAGCAGAGGAGCTGACAGACTTGCCCAGGGCCACAGAGCAGGAAACAGGCAGGATTTGAACCCAGCACACCGACCCCAGGCCCCTTGGCCTCTGCACCAGCCAGCCGGCCCTCAGCCCTGGTGCCCGCTGGCCGGCTCCTCCAGCGGCAGTGCTGAGCCCCGCATCTGGTCCCCAGCCTGCACCAGGCGCCAGCGAGAGCCCCGTTCTCCAAGGGGGGGACTCCCTGGATCCAGCACACAGCCTGAAGCCAGGCCCAGGCCGGAGCCTCAGCCTGATGCCCACAATGAGCACACAGGTGGGGTCACCCTAGCTTAACCCCAGACCTCAGGCACATCCGCCCCATCCCAGCAGCCTGCTTCTCCGTGTCAGGCCTGACAGGTGGCCGCAAACTGCTCTGTCACCCAGTGACTGCGGCCTCAGCCCCCTAACCTCAGTGTTCTCGTCTAAAGTGGGGCAACACCCGCATGGATGTCTGGGGTTCCAGGTGGGGGCTGGGGCTGCGGGAGAGGCGGGGTTGAATGACTTCATGGGTGTTGAGCGCTCAGACCAGTACCTGGTGCGTCTGAGTGTTTGGAAAGTGACAGCTGACTTGCGGTTATCCAGTCCCGTGGCTGGGGCAGGGAAGCTGTAGACGCCATGTGGGGCCAGGTTCGGGCAACAGATGCCACTTCCAGGAGCTGTTTTGTGTTCATCGTCTGTTCCTCAGTTATCTTTGGCGCGCGCTTACCCAGAGCCAGGCTGAGTCTTTACTCGCTTGACCTACTTAGTCCTCACTCAGCCCTGGGGTGGGGGGGCCTGGGGCTCGGAGACAGAGGAGTCTTGGCCGAGGTCACGCAGTCAGGACGCAGAGCAGGGGCGGGAGTCAGGTCTGTGTGAGCCCCACGCCTGAGCACGAAGCCCGCCCACCTGCCTGCGCGTCCTCCTGCCCCCCACGTGGAGAGAGTGGACGGCCAGTGCTTTCAAGAAGCCGCCTTCTGGAATCACGCCAGGGGCTGGTACCTGACTGTGGCTTCGTGCCACTGCGGAGGGTCTGTGTGGAGTAGGGGGAGCTGGTGGCGGTGACCCCTGCTCTTTCCTCCGGGCTCTCTCAGTGCCCACCCCACACCCCTGGCACCGGAACCTCTCTGCCCAGCCCCTCCTGCCCAGCCCTCTCTCCCAGACCACCGACTGGCCTCCTGGCCAGCCCGGGGGTCTCCAGACATGGCGGCCGTTGAGGGAGCCCAAGTTGGAGACTGAGTATTTTATCCTGGAAGGTCAGACTTCTGACTGCTTCTGAGAGAAGGCACCGCTCCCCTCAGCCCCCCAGTGCCGTCATCAGTGACCCTGACCAGCTGGTGAGCGAGGCTGCTGACGAAGTCCATGGGCCTGGCCATTCAGGAGTTTCACCCTCAGAGTGAGGAATGGAGGGGGGTGGGGCAGGATGCATCCACACAGCACGCACAAGTGGCCTGAGGGCCCTAGGTATGAGCCCCATTCCTGTCACTTACTAGCTGGTGACCTTGAGAAGTGATTGAACCTCTCTGAGCCCCAGTATCTATTTTGCAAGCATGTTGTAAGGATTCACAAGAGAAAAATAGATTAAAAGCCCAGGGACAATACCTGACACATAGTAGGTAAAAGGTAAAAGGTGGCAGAAAATCACAGCAGGCGACGCTCTGCTCATTAGAGCTGCTGAGGAAAATCTGGGTGGGCTGCCTGGAGGAGATGAGTGTAGAGCAGGGTGTTCAAACATGTGGGCCACAGGATGGCTGAGGAAGCAGAAAGGTGCTAAGAAAGGCCCAGGAGAGGAGACTGTATCTCCTTTCACCCTTGGTTGGGACTGGAAAAGGACCTCTGTGCAATTCTCACTGGTCCACTCACTGCTCAACTTACTGATAAGCCAGGACTGTGGCCTTGGGGGCTATAAACAACTGTCCTGGGGAGCAAGGAGCTGTGTCCAGTTGGGCCAGGCCTGTGCCAAGCTCAGAGGGACAGTCTGCGGTCTCCCCAGGTGGAAAGGCTGAGGAGTCCCCCTCTGTGGGACCCCAGCTCCAGGCCTGGGCACAGGACCAGAGGCATGGACCGAGCTTTGTCCAGAAAGAGGCCCCGAGGTCCGGGAGGGGAGTGGAGTTGTGTGCAGCCGTTGATTGGAGTGCTGGCTGTGGCAGGCGCCCGTCCTCACGGGCCCTTTCCAGACCATTGAGCGGGCAGCCGAGCGAGCGAGGGGTGCCAGCATCCTCATTTCACAGATGAGAGCCCTGAGCCCACAGGCCTGGAGCCAGCAGGGCAAAGCTGGGGTTTACAAACGCCCCCAGTGGGAATGTGCCCACCATGTTGCCTTGAGCCAAGGACAGCCAGCGCCTGACAGCTGGAGGCAGGAGGGGCTGCCTCTCACCTTCCAGGCAGGGTCCAGGGCAGCTCAGAGGGACGCACGAGAGCGTCCAGGGTGCCAACAGGGGCTTTGGGCCAGGCTGCTGCTTGTTACTGTGTGGTTTTAAGAGGACACTCACCCTCCCTGGGCTGCTGGGAAAGAGCAGGGTTAATTGTGGGCTCTCCCTGCCCTCCTGGGGTGCAGAGCCCTGGGAGGCACTCTGGGGGGAGATGGCAAACACAATGACGAATGGATAGGGAACTGGAGCCCCAGAGGACAGTGCAAGGGCTAGGAGGACTCGAAGGAGTGGAGCCAGAGTGGTTCTGCAGGAACAAGTAGAGAAAACCAGCGTGGGTGCATTGCAGCAAGAGGGCTGTTGGTTAGACATCAGGAGGAACTATCTGGACGCTAAAGCAAATTGAGGAGCTGGTGCAGGTAGCATGCTTTTAAGCAGCAGAGAAGCTCTGAAGGCAGAGGGATGGAGGAGACATCTGGGTGACACCCCTCTCCTTGAAGGACCAAGATGGCCCCTCCAGGTTGCTATGGCAACCAGAGGCTTGTCATTTCTCAGTCCGGAGATGTGGGGGAGGTGCAGGTCTGAGAAGGCGCCACAGACCTTGAGGTCAAAGGAGTAGGTAGTGGCCTGGAAAAGGAAGGGGTTACCTCCACAGCTCCCTGGGGAGAGGATGGTGCCTGGAGAGTTTAGGGGTCCCCTCAGGCTGTCCCCCAGTCTCCGCCCCACATGAAACGTTGTGTTTTTCCAGTTGCCGCTGGCGACGTGGCCACCGGTCCCAGCTGGGCGAAGAGCAGCCTGTGATTTCACCCTGGGCTGGTTCATTACCTGACGTCTCCATGGCAACCAGCCTGTGACATCATGGGGCCAAAGTCCTCAGGGGGAGAAGGCAGCTGGGGGGGCGGGCAGGGAGGCCGGGGACTGGGATCCAGGAGTCCTCCAGCCCACAGCCAGCTGGACGAATGACCTTGTTCTGGTCACGTCTCCTCCAGACCGTCACATCACCGGCGCTGCTCCCGGGCTGGGCGACGACTCCCAGACAGCTTCAGAGCACTGGGGGCCCTGGAAATATCCCAGCACCCCTCCGAGTTCTCCTGGCTGCCCCCGACTCGCACACGACGGAGCGCTGACAGTGGTGACTTTCCAACTTTTTTGACTGGATCTCATGGGAACACACGTGTTTTGTATCGCAGTATCGGGGAATCGTGTGACACGCAGGCACGCGGACAATTCCCGCCATACCGTGTGTCAGCAGATTAAACAGAAGTTTCTGGAAATGATGCTTAACCTGACTGCTTTGGGCACTGATAGTTTTCATTCTCTTCTACTTAGTATACATACACACGTGTGTGTGTGTGTGTGTGTGTGTGTGTGTGTAAACTAATATGTATGTGAATATGTGTGTATTTCATTTAT